TAATTTATATTTTTAAATATTATTATACCAAATTTTATTTGAATATTCTAAATTGTTAAAAAAATAGATCAGTAGCACATTTATAGTACCAATACAGACAAATTTGTTTGCATTAGTCTACAATCTAAGGGATAAGATTGAGTTAGTTTAATATCATTAGTTAGTTATAAATATAAATATATAGATTACCTTTTTTTAAAAAGACAAACATGAAATTCTTCAAACAATTTTGTTACAAAGTTATTTTTTATAAAGAACCTAAAGATATTCTGCCAAATATTGATACAACAAAAAATGATATTTGCATAATATGCAAAGGTACTATTAATCCAAGTATTAAAGAAGCAATTACAATTTTAAATTGTAAACATTTTTACTATAAAAATTGTATTAGAGAAAAGTGTCTACTGTATTAAGAAACAACTAATAGAGTTGAAAATGTATCGGTTAATCATCATGAAAGTAACTGTTCCATTAGCTTATTATTGAATTTAAAACATGTTGTCATTTCTACTTTACTTACTGATTACACCAAACCCACTATGTTTACTGAATCTATTGAACCTCTTATGCTTACCAAATTTACCGAACCTATTATTAATATAGAATCTATTGAATTTACAAAATCTAATAAATCTACTAATAGTATGCTTGTTGAATTCATCAAACTTTCTACCTTTTTTATATTAGCAAAATCTACTGAATCTATCACTTCTTTTTATTAGCAGAATCTACAGAATCTATTGTTTTTGTTGAACCTACTACTTCTGCTTTTGTACCTATTGTATCAATTGAATCTGATGAAATATCAATATCTACAACCAAGTCTACTAAATCAATATATAAAAGAACTGAATCTAAAGCAACATCTAGAAGAATCAAATCTAATACCATATCTAAAAATCCCAAATGATACAACTATTGAGAGAACTAAACAATCCTATTAGAAGGGAAGATAATAATAATATTAATAACAATAATAATATTAATAACAATAATAATAATAATATTAATAATAATGGTGATGTATTATAGTTAATCTAACTTTATACAAATATAATCTGTGCTAAAAATGATACATCTAAGGCAAACCAAGTAGTAATTAGAAGTTGATATGAATTTGCAAATGAGCTTAACAAACAGATTAATCAAACATTAAGAGATCAAAAAAATTCTAAATGTAGAAGTTCGAAAAAAGCAGCAACAATCGAAGTATATGATAAACTTTTGTTATTTTACTAATATGACACGATTTACTTTGAGAAAAAAAGTAAAAAGACAAATAAGGTTTATACCTTATTTAAGGAAATAGATATTAATAAAATTGAAAGAGTTAGTACTTTTAGTACTTACAAAATTTCAGAATTCAATATATTACAAATTGAATATATTATTAAAAATATAACTATATAATATTGCTTTTATTAATTGCAAAATGCTAGTGATTAATTGCTTATATAAATTAGTTATATCTAAATAAATATAGTAAATTTAATTTTTCAAAATCAAAATTTTTTTCTGATAATAACAAAAAAGTAAAAACACTAGTATTATCAATAATTGAAAGAGCAGTTATATGATTTTCAAACTTCTTAATTTTTTTAGATCTGAGTAATATTAAGTATCCTAGCTCAGAGACGTCAAAAATTATGAATCTATAATTTTTAGTGAAATTCATAATTTTGAGAATTATCTATAAAAAACCAAAATTTAAAAAATTTTTATATACAATTTTAGCGATTTGATTAGTTATAGATCATGTTGTCTGTTAATTTCTATTAATCTGATTGGCTATGTTTATAAAGTTTAAAATTTTAGATGATAAAATAATCTAAAATCATGTGATTTCATGTAATCTGACCTGAATTATTAAATTTAATTTCTTAATACCAGCCAAGTCCAAAAATTTTTAAAATTTTTATGTTATTCAAAAACTTTTAATTCAAAAAAAAAAAACAGTATCTTTGCCTTAGAGAAGTACTAGAAATCAGCTGATTTTTTAGAGAAGAAAAGGATAAAAAAAATTATCAGATATATAGTTTTAGTTAATTAAAATTTTTTATTTAAAATCAGGTAAAGAGGAAGGTGAGTAGCTTCTTAATAAAAAAATATTAGCTGATAAATAGCCCTCTCTTAGCTATAGTAAAAATGACTGAGTTATATGATGATATACAGGTAAATTATTTAATAATGAATCTTGATTTGGTATTATGTGACCACTTCTTTGATTATTAGTTATACAAAAAATGTATCTAGTAGTCATAAGCAGAAGTTTGTCTAATTGGCTAATAAATTTAATTTAATTTTATATTATTTATATAGTTTAGAGTACTTTTTAAAAAAACAAAAAGTAAAGATAATATTATTTATCATCTGATTTTTAGATATGGTATTAGATTTGATTCTTCTAGATGTTGCTTTAGATTCAGTTCTTTTATATATTGATTTAGTA